TCAACCCATTACAATCAACCCCTATTTTACCATCGCGATTTTTATTTTTAATAATTTCTTTTTTTTCTCAATTCAATTTGATCTTCTGCCTTCACCGGTCGATAACCGATCAACGATCAATCGATCAGTTATCCCCGCTAGATGTCTACCTGGGTCACCTCTCATCCAGCAAACATCACGGAGTAGGGATGAGAAGGAAGCCGGTCTCCTGTCTTCCTCAATATACAGTTTCCGGCCATTTCTTTTGGTTTCATTTGTGTATCGATCGCAGCAGTGACTTATACGTATTATTTAAATTTTTCTGTGTTATCTATTACGTTAATTTTACTCTCATCGTGAATTTATTATTAATTTCCAGTGCAATAATTATTTTTTTACATTTTATTAATAACTGATAAAGACAGTTTTAACTATTAGCCGAAACGGCTCGACCGATTTTCGTGAAATTTTATATGCATATTCAGTAGGTCTGAGAATCGGACAACATCTATTTTTCATCCCCCTAAATGTTAAGGGTGGTCCCTACTTAAACAATTTTTTTTGGACCATCATCATACAAAAATACATACAACCCTAAATTTTCACCCTTCTTCCACCAACCCCTATTTTTTAAGGCGGTACGAAGTTCCCTGGGGCAGCTATATAGTAGGTATTTCTATAGATATTCAATTAGTCTAGTCAATAAAGACATAAAACAGGCAAAACTTGGAAACCCGGTGGAACAGCTCCGATTTTGATATTTTTTTTTTAAAAAAATGTTTTTTTTATATTATTCAAAATCAGAAATCTTTGGAAGGGGGGAAATATTTTTTTTTATTGTTTAAACAATATTTATGACATTTTTATAAAAAGATCACTTTTATCGCTTTTTTTTAAAAAAAATATTATTATGTTAATGTTAGTATAAAAATAGTTGTTAAAATGAGGCTTTTAATAATAATTTAATATTTAAACCATTAAAATACGATGTATTGGTCAATAATACGAATGCGTTGAGCACTTACGTTATATTTTAGTTACTTCATATAAATATATATATTTTATAGATAGGTCCGACAAATTACTCCACCCCACCTGATGTTAAGTGAAGGTGAAGTCCAGACGCGAAGATAGCTGATACAGCAGTTCTACCTGCCACACCAGCCATCCTCACTCTGCCGGCCTGCATGTTGCTTCTTCACGCCTCTTTTAAAGGATCCCAGGTTGTAAGAGGGAGGGAACACGTGAGCGGGCAGAGCATTCCATTTACGGATAGTGCGACAAAAGAAATGAGTCACCAAATTTCTTTGTACGCGTTGGAATTGTGGCCACAGTAAGACGGTGACAGCGTAGGCCAGCTCGCGCGGTCCTCTGAAGGAAAGGGGAAGGTGGGATAAGAGAGAATAACTCCTCAGAACACTCGCCGTGGTACAGACGATAGAACGCGCTTAGTGACGCCACGTCACGGCTCAAGGTGTTTAGTCACCTCCTCATCGCCTATGATGCGGATCGCGCGCCGCTGTAACCTATCCAAAGCATCGAGCAAGTACTTGGCGGAGCCATCCCAGAGGTGCGAGCAATATTCCACGCAGGACCGCACTTGCGTTTTGTACAACAAGCACAGTTGATCGGGCGTGAAAGAACGCCACACCTTGTTCAGGACTCCGAGTTTGCGTGAAGCTGTTTTGATCACGGTTTTGATGTAGTCCTTTGGATTCAGGTCTGAGCGAACTTCCATACCGAGCATGGAAATCTTGCTCTGTAGCGGTAGTGTTTTGCCCTGAAGATGATAAATAAATAAAATAAATATAAAATAAGACGACGGGTCAGATGGTTATTAAGGAGCTTTTCTAGAACTTTACATAAAACTGAGATGACTGCTATTGACCGGTAGTTTGCCGGGTCTGAGCGATCGCCTTTTCTGGGCACCGGTTGCACGTTAGCATCTCTCCAAGTCTCCGGCACACGCCCCAAAGAATACGAGCATTGGTAGAAGCGCGTGAGCACAGGAGACAACTCCGTTGCACATTTTTTCAGTACTACTGCTGGGATGCCATCAGGTCCACTAGCTTTCCGGACGTCGAGTGATTGCAATTCGGCACGAACCTCACACTGCCTGATTTTAATATCAGGCATCGTTGTGCCACAATGAGGTAATGATATTGGTAGCGCATTGCAATTATCATTCGGGAGTTAGCCGCAAAGAGGTTTGCCAGTAAATCGGCTTTTTCTGCGGCTTATGAACTAGTGTTCCGTCTGGGCATCTCAGAGGTGGCAGCGAGGGCTGGCAGAAGGTTTTTTGCACGGCTTTGGCCAAACGCCAGTAGCTACGGGAGCGTAGGATGCGTTATAAGTTCCTGGCCAATACGTGCAACGCGCTGGGCATCCGCTCTGATGTAAGCCTTCTTACAGGCCTTGGAAGCAAAATTGTAGGCTGCTTTGAGTGAATCGACCTCGGGATCCTTGAGAGCGCGGCCTCTGACCCAATATATATATATATATATATATATATCATATATTTTTTTATTTATGTTAATAATGAAACTATTAATTTCTTATATTTCATGAAATATATCCTAACTTTTTTATGTATATCAGCGTCATATCATTACATGGAAGATATTATAATTAATTGTTTTTAAAAGTTTTTGATATAATAACATGTAAATTAAAATTATTTGTGATAACAATATGAAAACAATAACATAAACATATTTTTTTTGTGAGTTTTCAATAGATATTTTATAAAAAAACATTTTTTTCTAAAAATGTCATAAAAATTGTTTAAACAATATAAAAAATATTTCCCCCTCTCCAGAGGTTTCTGATTTCAAATAATATAAAAAAACAAAATTATTAAAAAAAAATCTTCAAAATCGAAGCTGTTCCACCGGGTTTCCAGGTAAAAAGCTTCATTGACTCGACTAAATATACGGATGGCGACATTGTAATGCTCCATACCTATATAAATAATTATAAAAAAGTGGCTTCAGATTTTCTCATTTCAGAACCAATACAATATTAAAAAAAAAAGAACAAGCGCAAGACACAATAGAACGTGACGTAAGCAGTATTCGAAAATTTAAAAAAATCGAAAATTGAATGCCGTAGAATGAAAACCGAGGTTCCCTAAGCGATGCGTGTGGAACTGAATTTTCTTTCATTAAATTTACGTCCTTCAAATTTGTTTGTGTAGCTTTTGTAAAATTGTTTTTTCGTTATATAGTGAAAAGCTCTTCCACTGTTTCCTTTTGTTTATTTGTTGTTAATTTTTCTTTGTATTCTAGATGTAAATGCTGATTCATTATATTTACATAGTATTTAATACACCCGTGTGAAGCAGGGACGGGCCGCTAGTATTTATATGTAAACAATAAAGGACAATGAGCAAAACACACCCAGCTCCGCCAACAATGTAATTACCTAGTATGAATCGATAGATCTATGAAAAACTAGCCTTTTTATTATGACACCGTAAAAAATATCCTGGTGGTCAAAAGATATGACACATGGGCATATTTAAGTAGCTAAATAAATTCATTTTAAAGTACCTTCATTTTATATTTTTAGTAACCATAATAATATGCCATACATCGTACTATTATACAACCAGATATACGGAAAAGCCTGTCTACCATCCTGCGCTTGCACTTGCTGAGCCACCTGAAAACGGTTAACGGGGGTTGAAGGACTTGCAGTTGCAAATAGTCGACTTGTCTTACTTCGTTGTGATGGTGCGCTTCCTGTCACTTGATTGATTTTTATCTAACACGCTTTGGACTTTGGAACACGATTATCGGTTTTGGAACTGGAATGTTCCTCCATATTAATTGACATGTTTTCTCCGAAGCGTGGAACGAACATAAGGGGGTACCCTTGCACCTTGTGAAGTACTCCCATAATACCTGAGCCCCCTATGTAGGGTCAAACTAACTAACTCCAGCGGATGCGTGGCCAATTGGAAATCAGGTGCCACGACTACATCCGCACTTTCGACACACATTGGGAGGACTAAGGTCCTCTGAATGCGTGTCGGGTTACCGGTGCAGGGGTATTGTCTGGTTTTTAGTGGCCCTCTTCAGGGCGGCTGGGCTCTGGATGGATGAAATGAGCAGGGAGGAGTCCCACATACCTTCCTCTCGCTCCCCCTGTGGTTGAAGGATGCATAAAGCATTTTCCAGACAAGAAAAAAGGTCGAACTAACTAACTAAAGTATTACCCTTGTTTTATTAATGTCCGTTTGTTATAGTACTTGTACCTATTTAACTTAAAATAACTAAAGACCCCCGGGCTGGAATTTGATGCACTTTGGCACAGATGATCATGACTATAATACCTTTCAAACAAATGTAGTTTAAGCCGTGGCGGTCGTGGGTGCAGCGGCCATACATTTTTGCCCAATGTCCTTTCTCTATACGTAATAAGTGTTTTCTTTTCTATCTCTGTGTTCATAAAAATGAATTTGATAACCATAAGACAACATCATGTGTCTGAATGAAATATCGGGAGCGCACGAGTAAAACACGTGGTAAATATCAAATATATATTATAATAACGTATAATATATATTTGATTACATAATTTTATCAATGTTTGAGTTTGCGAGATTTAAAGAGTAGGAAAATTGATGATTTTCCCGTCAACCCTCAAATCACGCACACGCGGTAAGCGGCTAATGGCATGCTTCACTTACGATTAGACGAGGTTACGTCCGTCTTTTTTCAGGTCCGTGATTGTACGTGTTCATGTTCAGATATATACTGAAAACTTCAAGCGTTCATAAATAAATACTACAATAACCAAGCTCCACATTCTCGGCAAAACTTTTTGTCGAGAACGGGCGTTGACGAGAGCACACGAGACCGACTCTCTACATCCTCGGTCGCAGTGTTGCCAATGCTACGGCAATAACGTGTTCTACGGCTTTTTTATTGAAAACAAATGCCAAGCCCAAAGATCTGGACTAAACGGTTGGTTCTGTCCACTATACGAGTAGCTTACACTTTTAACTTTACGGTTATGTTGGTGAAGGAAAGTAATAAATGAAAGCATAGTTCCGTATTACATATTGTTTATTCATGTATAATTATTTGAATACATCAAAAATTTTTGGTGTAATATGAAATTCGCTACCGCATTAGCTGACCAAGACTATTGGTGCTATAGGCCAACAGTAATCATTATTGTTTAACTTATATAAATTGTACATTTTCAGGAATGTACTACTCTCCTACTGCTACTCTACTTAACTTCAATTATTAAGATCGAAAAATGTTTTATACAAGTTACATTTAACATTAAATATTTTAAATTAACTAGTTTATTAAAAAAACATTAAATCAGTCATTTACAAAGCATCTTTCTAATTTTTACAACATTATCAAAACGCGGTTTACAAATATTATAGTCATAAACCAAGCTGCACATTTTTTTCTTAATTTGGAGTTTTTTTTTATTTTGGATATTGCTTATTGCACTATTATATAACTTAACCTAAATAAATTGTGTAAAAACATTGGAGTTGGGAAATCATATTATTGAATTGATCTGTTTAAAAATTAAAATAAAACCCTTTGTATGTTTGTTGTAATTGTGATAAAAATGAAAAGCAGTTCTTTGGTGCGAGGCCTAGATTAATTTAATCTAAGGTGCGAAGGCTATTATTTATTTTTTGATGTACTTTTGAGAAAATAAAAAAATGCATTGTGTTAAAAAAATAATAAGATAAATGATGGCATATTTATATCGTCGATATAGTCACAAAACAAACAATCGTTATCACAAACAAATCATTATTATTCTTTTGTTTAAATGCGAGAATGTAAAGATTGCAATTTTTTTAACTATTTAATACACATACAAGAACTCAATCTTACACTAACTCTTAAATTATTTAAAACTATGATGGCTTTTTCTAACGATTGATATTGTGAAAAATAATTCAAGATTATCTATAATTGGGCGTGTGAAATAATTATTACCTACATTTATTTGTTATTCGAGAATTGCTTCTTAATGAACAGATCAATTTTTTTTTTTACTGATTGGTGAAAATAATAATGATGCTGAGCGCAAAAGATATTTTTTGTGAAATATCATCAACTAGCACAAACATTTAGTTAGCCTAATAAAACCGGCTGATTTTTTGAATAAAAAGAATAACCAAAAAACAATCTTTAATATTTCACGTGTTTAAAATAAAATCTCGCAACACAGGCTGTGTATGATAAATAGATAGACCTACATCTAAATACAATACTGACATCGCCGACATTTTAAAATATACATCTCGTAATAACTCAATCACAAACATACTATCGGTGTATAAAAAACACGTTACACAAAAATCTTTTAATATTTACAGAAATGTACAGCCACATCATTAAAAAACAAACGAACACTCATCTCGACTATCACACGATCGAAACATATCAAATTTATAAATACGTAAATTTAAAACTATATTTACAGAACGCCGTCATTTGTCATGAGTCCATGACACATTTTATTAAAACAATATACAAAAATCCTTCCGGAACCATAGAGAAACTATGCGATCCTTCTCTTGTCCCTACAGGCAGTGAATTAATATAAAAATAAGAAGGTTATGAATAAATTTTGCGAATTAGGAGCAAACTTGAGGTTAAAACACACATAACCATCGTAGAAACAAAACGACACTCCCTCATAACAAACCGAACTCGTCCAGAGGCAAAGCAAAGCCATGAATGATTTGTGAATGTGCGTTGTAGTAGAATTTTTATACCAAATTTTTAATATATTGACAGCTCGAGATGAAGTGGCAACGACAAGTTTTCGCGCTGGTATGTGTGCGTAAACCTTAAATCACGTTTAAGAGAATCGATGACGATTTTGATAACGGAATTTGTACTAAAATAATTCGAGTTTTGATAAAAGTATTTAAGTATGTTTGTTAGTCCCAATACCTATACAGGTTTTGAGATCATTGTGTTTCAATGTTGGCGCTTAGGCTGGGTTTATATCTACCGTTAAACATAGATTTATATTAGCGCACGAAGTATTAAGGTGTAACAAAAATCGTCAGATATTAGTTAAAAAATATAAGTAATATAATTTAACTATGCCCCAAAAAAAATTTAAACCAAATAGTTATTCTTAGATTAAAACAAAAAGGGAAAATACGGTACGCTCATACTAGCATCAAATAAAATATGATCCGACTCAACTGCATAAGCAACTCTCACACACGCCCACTTATTCGATCGCGCGAGCGAAACAGAACTGTACGCTTCAAGGCAGCGCGAGCGGACCGACGAATCCGCTTCCGAGTCCGTACGGCTGAGCTGTATTGTTGTCCTTTTCTTGATAACAAAATGGCGATTACGTAAACAACATTCACGACAAACCGCGATTTTTGAGAAAAAAATGTTTTTACAGTTTTACGATTGAAAAGTGTTGCCGAGGCATTTGTTATTTGATTTCGGACTATTTGTGTTCTTTAGTAAAGCATCGAAGGCATTGTTTTATATTTATGACATAGAATATACCCAATATTGTTATATTGAGTGCACTTGCAGCGTGTTTGAATGTCCAATTGTGTCTAAAGCGAATTGTGGTCAAGCAGCACAATTAAAGCGGATCATTTTTGAGCCGCGAGTGCCGTATCTTCCCTTTTTGTTTTAATCTAAGTAGTTATTTATACAGGCCAACCAAGCCCACTTCAATAAAATAGGGATTGTATTAAATTTGTCGTCAGCAAAATTCGCCAGTGTCCTGGGATTAACAAGTTTTTAATCTATGTATTAGACATAAACCTAACCTGAAATAATAACAGTGAGCTAGCGAACAATTTGCCTGTGTCCAAAAGAGGAGAACAGAAAAAGCGACAGGATGACTTTGAAGAAAGTGTTGGTCCTGCGAGTCAATACATTGAAATTTTAATACGAACACCTTATAATACTTTCAAGCAGTATCGAATTTGTGTCAAATTCTTTACATAAAAAAATCCTTACAATCAATAAGCACATATCCCCTCTCCTGCTCGCTCGGAACTCTCAAACATAGACAATTCGCTACCAAACTGTATTTTATAAATCTCTCTATGCACGTGATCCGGGACTGAAGAAATAGAACGATAATGAACTTTACAGCGCTAGACTTAAGACACCATTTGCCTGTGACCGTTCTGTCCGTTCCCGTTCTGTGATGGGAATAAGACACCTTCGTATGTCACACCGTTCAGCTCTATCGAGACGACTAGTTGCTGGTCGCCTGTGCTTGCATCACCTGCAACAATAAAAAATTGGTTTAGTCGTAGGTACCTACATTCTTATTAAACGAATAATCTTTTAGTTTTGTTTAGTTTCAACAAACAAAGCTCGAAGAAAGCTCTTTTTGTTTGTCATTCGTAGCAAAGATAAGGAGCGGAGCGCAACGCAGTCCCTACAAGGACAATTTTTCAAAATTGATTATTAGTTGGTCTATGCGCAAAGTAACTATAAACCAACACGCTGAAGTAGTGTCGGCTCAGAACAAAGTGTAATTTCTGTCACGCACTTATTATTAACGTTACGTTTACAGTAATTGTAACGCTGTTCTAAGGCTTCATATACACGAGCGGTTCGCAGCCAACCTGCAGTGCCGATGCTGCCGTATATATGCCCTAATAGAATTTATTCGCGACTATTAACCCGAGAAGTTGTACTGGCCTATAGAAATAAACATTTCCGCTACAAGGCCGCCTAGGAAAGAGTTGTACGATATATTAAGTCACCGTACTAATCGTTGATAATGATCTTGTAGGCGGCGCCGTTGCCGCCGTTGAGCTGCGCCGGCGATGGGCAACGCGACTCGGGCGCATAGTACAGGGTGAGCGGGAGGGTTACAGTACTCACTGGTTATGATCTTGAAGGCGGCGCCATTGAGCTGCGCGGGCGGTGGGCAGCGCAGCTCGGGTGTGTTTAGGACGGTTATAGTACTCACCCCTGGTGGTGATCTTGAAGGCGGCGCCGTTAACGCCGTTGGGCGGTGGCGCGCCGTTGAGCTGCGCGGGCGGTGGGCAGCGCGGCTCGGACACGTGGTGGGGGTGCGCGGGCTCGGGGCGGGCGGCGGGGGAGGGGGGGCGTGGCGTGCGGCGCTTGGCGGGCGGCGGGGGGGATCTGCACGCCTCGCGCTTGCCGCCACTGCCGCTCGAGTTGGGGCTCTCGCTGAGGTTCAACGCCTCGCTGTGGAAGAAACACATGGTTGTAGTGAGTATCTCTTCATTTTTCCTATGGAATAAGGTCAGAAGGTAAGCTGATGCCTTACTCTAGGCAAATGGTGCAAAATATAATTAGAATGGAGCGATTTCCCGCTTCATTCGCTGTAATTCCCTCACAATTAGGGTTACCATCCGCCCGGATTAGTCCGGACATGTCCGGATTTGTCAGGATCTTTAAAATTAAAAGTACAAACTTATTTAATTACCATGCTATTGTAACTAAGTGAGTAAAGGTACCATTTTGCGGCTAAAAAGTCCGGACTTTTTTCGAAATGTCAGGATTTTTGACAGGACTTTTGAAATCCCTAAATGGTTACCCTACTCACAATACAACCTCAGATCATCATTAAGTGGCTTTTGTTATAGAAGTGGTAAACAAACTAAAGATTAAATAAATAAATTAAATCTTCTGTACCTAGACACGTACCGTTGTGGCTCTAGTTCTGGCTGTGGACTGTTGTTGTTGTTATTGTTGTATAGGGACCACAGAGTCAAGCGGGACACGTCGATGGCACTGAGGGCGGCGGCGTCGCGCGGCGACATTATGGGCGCGGGCGCGTTCGAGCCGGGCGGGGATTCTGAACCTGATACGGAAGAAATTTCGAGTCAGCTATCGAAGAAATTCAAAAAAGAACACACACAGATCTCAATAGCAGGTATCATGCTCTATAGAGAATGCATTGCCCAGTATATTGTCAATTTTAGTGTTAGGTTTAGAGAATCATGTCAGAAAGACCACTGATATATTAAAATTAAGATTGTCAGTAAATTCTACAGATTATATTCTGCCATAGCGACACTCACAATGAAGAAGCGACACTGGGCTATACTCGCATGAAATCGACTAACACCCCCGGCAACAACTTGAGCCACGACCATAAAAGAGGAAGCCTGCGCAGTAGCAATTTTACATACAGAAACGTCTATTGCGCACGTCTGTTATTTTGCTCAAGAAGTTTGCCGCTACCTTTACTAGGAATGAAAGCAATGGTAAAGCCAATACCTATAAGAACTAGGTAAAGGCCGCCCGATCGCTCCGTCTCTCTCACACTTGTTCTGCCCAACTCACTTCCCAGTTAGTCAGGGAACGCTCAGTTCTATCGCTATAGACGCCAGGTCATCTCTATCTATGCATATGTATTGTACATGCACAGTAGCGCCAATTTTCTCCCGAAAACTCACGCACTTTGCTTTGCTAATAATTCATTTTTGTGGCATAGCAAAAACTGTGGCGCTCGGTACTGTGTGGCTACGAAACACGACGTGATTAAAAGTATATTGTACCCTTTTTTAAATAACAGATTTACCGACCCTACCAATATAGACCTAGGAAAAAACAGAAAATAGGATGCGATACAAACTTCATGGCGGCTGTGAAGTAAGCAGTGAGCAATGAGCGCAACTACGCGCAGGTTTCAATTCAGTGACATCCCGCGCGCTTCTACACATCACCCTGCATTTCGTTTACTGCGCCGCCACTTGCGGTAACTTCATAGTGGCGATTAAGTTTATATCACACCAAACCTATATCGACAATACTTACCGTTCCTCATAAGCTCTCGTTGTTGCTGTATCATCTTCATGTACTCTCGCACGCGGTACTCGAGGTCGTGTTGCGAAAGATGAGGGGCGTGTGGAGGCAGCGGGGGGAGCCGCGGAACTCCTCCCACGCCCGCGAGGGAAAGAGACAGCGGCTGCATGTGCTGGGACAGCTGCGCGAGCGACGCCGGCACGCGGTTCAGCGGGGGCTGGAAGGAATGCTAGGAGGTTGTAGAAAATTGTGTTAATGTAATTTTCATAAGGTTTTGCATACAAATTAAAAGAATAAAAGAAAAACTCTCTACTAAAATATTCGTCGACAGCCCATTAATGTCCCTACTGCTGGAGCATAAGCCTTCCTATGGATGTGATAGGGAGATTGAGCTATGATTTCGCATAGGCCCAAAGTAGATTGGTGGGTGCTAACGACTGCAGATGCAGCCGAGACCAACGGCTTAACTTGCCTTCCGAAACACGGAGGAGCTCGAGATAGTAGAGTTTGGCCACCTATTCTATAACCATTGCGACAATGCGAATGTTGCGCCATCAGGCTTCTCATCATCAACTAAGATAAAGCAAGACAAATATCCTATCAACTTTTTAATCTAAAAACTAGCACTTAAAATCTAAAGATTGATACGAGAATTCAGAAATAAACAATTCTGTTAGTTTTGGAGTAGTAAAACTATGTTATAGCCTCTTAACACTTAGATTAAAACAAAAAGGGAAGATACGGTACGCTCATACTAGCATACTAGCACAAATAAAATGTAATCCGACTAACTACATAAGCAACTCTCACATACCACACACACACTTCTGTAAATAAACGTTCAATCGAGCGAGCGAGACAGAATTGTACGCTTCAACGTAGTGCGAGCGAAACGGCGCGAGTCCGCGTCGCTTTGCAGCCGACTGCGTTTTCTTTTCTATCTCTACAAACGGCTGAGCTGTTTTGTTGTCTTTTTTTTGATAAAAATTGGCGAATCAGTAACTAACAATAATGGTAAACCGTGATTTTTGAGAAACAAAATGTTTTTTAAAGTTTTACGAATATAAAGTTTTGCCGTAGCATTTGTTATTTGATATTGAACTATTTGTGTTTTTTATAAAAGCATCGAAGGCAAGACAGGCATTTATCTTTATAATACAGAATATATGCAATATTGTGCACAGGCATCGTCTTTGGATATCTAATTATGACTAAAGCGAATTGTGGTCATGCACCACAATTTAAGCGGATCACTTTTGAGCCGTGAGTGCCGTATCTTCCCTTTTTGTTTTGATATAAGTCTAAATACCTATAAAACTTTGTTTCAAATTCAATAGCTTGCTAATGTCGTCGTAAAAAAACTTTTCGATAAATATTCTTCATATGTACTTAATTATTTTAAGAATAGATACCCACCATAGCTAAAGCCGCTTGTGCGTCGTACTGTCCCGAAGCGCGTCTACCTTCCCTTTTGTTTCCTTCTATGGCAGCATCCAACTCACTCCTTGTAGAGAGATTCTTCTTCTCGCACTCATAGTCGTACAGGTATTTCATATACCTGGAATAAAAAATAACTCATAAGTAGGTAGTTGAAGCTGTGATTGTTATTGTTGAAAATACATGAGGTATGTTTATCATATTGGATGTTGAACAGGTGCCAATACATACATGAACTGTCTGATGGAAATCAAACAACATAATCTTATAAGCAAGTACACCAAGGGAATTGCTTGAATATTCTTCAAAATAAAATAACAGAATATAACGTTATTATCATATACTTTATTTTTTATGGATTATCGTTTTTAACTCTCTGACTGAAGAAAGCTATTCATACGAAGGTATCTATCGAAATTGGATGGATACCTTTTCAAAACATAGAAGTCAATAAACTACACACAATAGTGACATATTCGAGAAACTTTTTTATTCTCTTAATAAATTATGAGATGAGCCGCTGTCACCGATGATCCATCTCTTCATACTTTAACGATCTAATTACGTCGTTAAGTCAATGTGTATCACGTAGAATCAATCCGGGTGACATGACAACCATTATAAATCATATTTCAAGCTCAATTAATATTAGTATCCCGTATACCGGCCACATAAAAGAACGTCCCATTACAATCATAATCTCGTTCTAGTAAGAGTCGATTTTATACGAACACATTGTCATCTTTAAGTTACCATAAGTCATATTAAGTGGTCATATTCAATGCGGAACACAATGAATACCTCTCGTTGGGGCTGCGCTTATAAAAACGCGACTACCTTTTCATAAACAGCTGTCAAATGAGAAAGCTAAATATACAACATTCGTCATTACCGTTCCGTCTAATTTTATGTACGCCCAGTACAGTGCGCATAGATTATTATAGGAGGACACATTAGAAATAACAAATCATAATGAACGTAATGGCTACATATTCCGAAATAGGTTTACATGTGGTCCGTCAGAGACACTGATTGTGGCGACTATTGCGTTAAAATCAACGCGTCGTGCGTAACGGTGAACACCGTTTGAATTAGAAATGTGAGACCTTTATGTCGTTTGACAAAAGGTGAGGTGAAGGAACTCGCCGGGAAGATAAATGGGAAATTATATCGGCGGAGATGACTTAGAGGATATTAATTATGGAGTTGTCACATTGTCGCGTCGTACGCCGCCGCCGCGTCGCTCACGTACCGCGGCCATTGAAGTTGGGGTTTTGTCTCCACCTCGTGGGAATTTGAATAATGTCTTATGCAAAGGTATCGAAGAATATGCACCGCTTCTGGCTTGTTTTGAGACCACACACTATACAGAGTACGTGATCAAACACTGACGACCTTTCGGCTAGCTCATCTCCGATCTGAAAACCCTGCTGAGATTCCTTATGAATCTGAAAAACTGCCTTTTTTAATTTTAATTTTGGGTATTTGTGGAACACTTAAGCATTGTTTGGTAAATCAATGCTGATCTCGACGATCTCTCACTTTTACGCTACTAAAGTTACCTATTGATTAGAATTATTCATGAAGCCACAGATTAAATAATGTTTAGGGAATTTATGTATAGCTAGAAAGAGAATATGCTTACTGTGTGCGAAGTGTGAAGGCAGCAGATGTGATGGAAGAAGGCAGTCTGAGGCCCTTGATGATTTCCTGCCAGAGCTTCTTGTTTATGACCTCTACAAGGCCCCCGCGTGCGATCACCAGGTTGTACAACTCGTAGAGGTCCAGAACAGACTTGGCCATGATCGGTAATCTGTTGATAGGAGTTCCTGTAACAAAGAACAGGGTTCATAAGCACGATGACAAATGACAATAAAATCTTGCGGAATATATGTAAATTGTTTTAGCCACTGAAGCCCATTTGCACAACACTTGTTCTAATTCAAAAGGTAGTCATGCTAATATGTGATTCTATCTCTTTTTGAGTTTAAGCAATTAACAAAGATGGAATGGTGTGTTAAACACTATTAAGCGTTATTTTGAATTAAGTACTTTGGTGCAAGTGGGCCATAATCACATAATCGTTGATACATTTGTTCTGTGTGCGATTGTGCATGTATGTATACATGAAATAGAGTATAATTATTTTGTGGTACACTACGCCATCTTGTAAAATATACATGTGTGTAGTATGTGACTTTTTAAGCCTCTGAATTACATAATCGTATAGTGTAGCATATGAGAAACGTCATCTTATAACAGTAATATAAGTACTAAGAACACGAGAAGAATCCTACTAACTCGCTCGTTTGAGTGCATTAGGTAGGGGCACTCTGTCTGCATAGCGGATATTTGTCCGCTCACGGTTTTGCGCTGCGCGTCGATGTGTACATGATCTTGCAGCAATAAAACCTTTATGGCGTACTTGGTAAGAGCCATAAACAATCCGCGTGGTAAATCGCACCGGATCGTGCGATCAATGATTTATGCGGTGCGCGACCGCATCAGATCGCGCGTTTACGACGCACGCCGCCGCCGCGCCGCTGACCGAACGGATTTAGCACAACATGCGCGGCTTTATCAGTGCTGTTTCGTATAATTTTCGGTTACTGTTATACTAAACTTTATTTTTTTTTGTTTTTAATTTTATTATATCATCAGATGAACTAAACTGAGTTATACCGACAACGGACTTAGATCCCGGACCTTTGATATTATAAATAGATGATGTTACTTTATAGAGAGAATTTATCACTTTATAGTAACATGTTGTTTTGATGACTGTTGGAAATGAACCTACTTGCAATGTGAGAATAGTTAACTTAAAACCAGGCAAGAAATTATTTTTACTGGCGAGGAGTGATAAAATAATTGGTACATTTTTATGTCTATGCCTGCTTTTAATCGGTTAATTTAAATTTACGGATATCGCAGCTCAGATTTATAAGTCCGCGCAACCCTACACGGTCCGTGTGGCCATACCGGAAACCATCGAGGTTTGTTAGCGGATTGTTTGCGGTGCTTGATTTACTATAATTCGGTGGTTAAACGTCGGCACAGTAATGAAGTGAACAGCGAAGCGAATCCTGTCTTTACATCTCCACCTATTTTATTATTCATTTACTGTATGTATTTTCAATGCGGATCTTCTGTTTTGTAGCTATAAATAATAATAAATAAATATTTCCAACACTCACACCAAATAGTCTAGCTCCAAAGTAAGCACTGTAAGGCTTGTGTTATGGGATGCTAGGTTTAACGGATAGAATACATTGTACATATAAAAGTATATTTATATAGAGATACATATTAAACATCCATAACTGGAGTAAAAATGCTCGTATTCATCACACAAACATCTGCCCCCACCGGGATTCGAAACCGGGACCTCTCGAGTCAGCGGCACCATGATACCCGGCGTACAAACCAGTCGACCACGGAGGTTGTCAAAATAATAAATATAACAGTGCTACCAGCTTTTTTTAATTTAAGCGTTAATTTGAATCTTCTATAATCCTGATCAGAATTACAAGGCCGGGGTGAAAATAAGTTTTTTTTAATGAAATCATGAATGTATGTCTTACATTAGTCTTAGATTGCAGAAAATCTGGGTTATTAGTAGATACGTAGTCGGTTGGACCTTTAAGCGCAATTTCAATAGTTATTCAGAATCAACAAAAGTAGAAGAAAAGTAAATACTTTTTGCCTAAGCACATGCCACATTCTAATAAGATTCCTATTCGTTCCCAATTGAGCGTGAGAGATACAAAGTGTAAAATTCAAAATTGCCATTGACATGACATGAACATGACCCTTAGCAGCGTTCACTGGAGCTTAATTAAATAAATACAAGTCCCGCGCAAATTTTCCAAACACGGGAGAATTGCGAGCGACGAGTGCCGATCGTTTATTGATGAGGCGTCGAACATTAGCGAATACCTAAACGACTATTTGTCAATCCGTCTTCCTGTCTGTAGTTAATCATCCCCTTCGCGCGGGAGGACGAGGTGGGTGGTGACGTCACCCACCCTGAGATTAATTGCCGCTTTCATGTCGAGAGGGATGATGCGCCGGAATTGGAGCGAATAAGTCGTGAGCTCCCGACGATGTGATAAATTGTTAAAAGTATAGGTAAGCAATAATTTAAATTAAGAGAGTTGTATATGGTATAGCCGATATACCGCTCGTATTGGAACGCTCATCTAGTGAATTAACCTCCACCTTACATAGTGTTGTATTTTGGTTTGTAAGTACTTAAGGTTTCCTATCAGATTGCAGATCAACCTTTTGCTTTGTAATCTTAGGGTTTTCAGTCCCCCTAGTATAACCACCGCAATATCTATCTTATCTTTTCTATATATATAAAACTCAAAGGTGACCGACTGACTGTCATAGTGATCTATCAACGCACAGCCCAAACCACTGGACAGATTGGGCTGAAATTTGGCATGCAGGTAGATGTTATGACGTAGGCATCCGCTAAGAAAGGATTTTGATCAATTCTACCCCCAAGGGGATAAAATAGGGAATAAAAGTTTGTATGAAACTTTGTCAATTTTAAACCGATCGGGCTGAGACTTTGCATGCAGGTATAAGAAGAATCATAGATGAATGTCATTGTGTATAATACAAGCCTGAGAACAAAAACTGTAGTCTACACTTCAGCTCTACACCGAAGCGCGGCGAGGGCGGGCCGCTAGTTTGATTATAAGTACTTATGAAGGAATATCAGCGTCATTGCTATGAATAGTGCCTTTTATCTTTCATGTAAACTTGAAAAATTACTCACAATTTTACGAATATCAGTGGGTAATAAAACCTGCAGTAGTTGTATAGCTTCAGATGGAAGTTGTAAAGACAGTAAAACAAAATTACCCAATGTTATATGCAGTGTTAAAAATGACTAACAATATATTAAATGGAAGAATTCTATAGAAATTCATCACAGCAATGATCTCATGAATTGCAATTATGAAACGACACAGTTTTAAGTTGGTAACGAAGTAAATGATTTTGGGCGTTTAGTTTGGAGTTTTTCAAACAATTTTAACGTCTTATGAGGAGCTCGATGACGCAACGATAAGTGCGTTCAGTCTGCAATCGTGTGAGTTCAGTAACTTTCGTAATGGTCTGTTATAGGATGGGTGATCAAAAATTTATTATCTCGCACCTTTGAGCTCTGGAAACCTCGTTTATAACCTGGCTGCATCAGCTCTGCACCACGAACGGGCCGTGAACCACCTAACATTATTGTTTCCCGACCAACGCTTAGACCCAACCAAAGTCCGAATGTGACGTTGTTGAGGTCTAATTATTGAAGTACCTCATCATCATCATCATCAACCCATGCTCGTCCACTGCTGGACATAGGTCTCCCCTAATGCACTCCACTGCTCCCCATTTTCTGCCACTCTCATCCAGCCCACTCCAGCCTACGAATGTCATCATCCCATCTTGTCTCGGGGCGTCCTACACTACGTTTACCGAATCGTGGTCTCCACTCAAGAACTTTCCGGCTCCAACGGCCGTCAGTTCTGCGGCTAATGTGACTTGAAGTACTTATAAACTACTAATACTAGGTACAAGTACTCTTCAACTTCTTAAGAAACAGTGTTGTTTAGAATTGCCTAGGTTACTTAAGTGCATCACTTCATTAAAACTTTAAATAGGAGGTACTTCTTACATAACTTTGTCACACGTAATCAGACATACGTAACAGAAGACAGATAAAGCACGACTCAAAGTCAGCTACCAGAAAGTAAATTGCATACACCGTTGATGCATATTCCAACATGTTATCAGAACAGAGGTTTGTTCAGGTAACCCGTTATCCAGTAAAATAGCAAGTTAGTTACAAGAAACCGATGTACAAAAGGCATTGTTTATGAAAGCAATCACCCCAATAACGATTTCCACAAAAAGCAATCCCTGCGCCGGCGGCGGAAAACGCGAGATTCGTCGCGCGTGCGCTTAGCGGCGTACTCGCGCTATTTGCATAACCTGACCATTTACAAAAGCCCACTCGCCCGCAACCAACGCGAGCGTCCAACGGCTCACTCAATCCGGTCGGTCAACGCGTAATTTATGATGTATGTCAAATCGCCGGCAGAGCCAATCTAATCGTGCCCAATTGTGACAAATTATTGCTTTTCCTATGAAACCTTACGCTGAATTTCACTTTATGGACTTACGGCGAGTGTGCGTTTTTTCGGATCGCCAACAGTGTTGCAACGATTATTCGCACCTCGACCGGCACTTTATTGGCACTTGATGTCGCTTAGTCTGCTAATTCTTTTGTGAGAGAAACTCGAAACTCTCGTAAATCGCAAACAGAACGCCCCCGCTCGCTGATAAAGGATTGTAAATAACGTACGATTAGGCTTTTATCCTCTCGGGCTGTTGCAACTTGCAACTTTGATTTGCAATACGCTTTTACGGTCAGATTAGTTATAGGGTTAAGTTTTATAGCGATCGGGTAATAAATTAAGGAACTCATCGTTAATTTATAAAATTCTTAAAAGGGACGACCATGACGCATCGTATGAATAATAAATTTCATTTCAAGATGTCGTCGGTTAGCGCGCCTATCTGACCGAGAGCGAGCGATAACACAAGTAATAACAATCGATTGGATCGACTCGACGCCTACCGCTTATCGAGAGATGTATCAAGGCCCTTATAGCCCCTCAACCCCGCGGCCGGCCAATAGCAGGCACCCGTGAGTCGACGCCCGCCGCCCATTGGCCTGATACGCTTTTGATTGCGCCGCCCCTCTCGATTCACGACTCGATCAATCTCAATTACTCGTCTATGTTGGTACCACTCCTAC